GTTAGATTTAGTTAGAACACTTCGACTGTCAGACCCATGTACAAAATTGATAGGAGGGAGGGGGGCTCGGGGGGAGGATCCAAAAATTGTTCTCTAGGAATATACCAATTACCGGAAATAAACGTTTACTAGGAAATTACTGGAAATAAAGTGTAAGATACCTTATTATGCCCGGAACTCCAAGGGGTGGACGAATTATTTCTCAATTATCAACAATTTGCCTCAGGTTACTAATCACATTCAAACTAAGCACACGGGCATGAGAGTTACATGTGTACGGAGTACGACTGAGAATGAGACATTGCACTTGAGTAAATTTTTGCCCGGCAAATTCTGTCGTCTTAGATTTCAAATATCTGATCCAAGGCCGGGTCAAGAGTCCCTTAATAGCACTCTTAACTAATCCTGGTTGGTAGGATCATCTACCCTACGCGTTCATAAGTTGTGCTAATACCGGTATTAACGCTCTTAAGATACCGGACTCTTGACCCGGCCACCAGCACGTGTCTAGATGCTGCCTTTCTATTGGCTAGGTTTCTACTATATTCAGTAAAAACTAGCCAATAGAAAGGCAGCATCTAGTCACGTGAAAAATTTTCGCGCAAAGTGGAAGAAACATGTTCCAGTTTTGTCAGAGAATTGAATCTTTTAAATAAAACCCTTATTAAAAAGTCTTCTTGTATATCATAACCATTAAATTATTTAATCTCTTAACGTTCGTTCTCTAGTGATTCATTTCAGATGTAACATCCTAAATCATCATGGGGATTTCCGTACAGGTAGTAAATAGATTTTTTCACTTATTAACGGGTGTATCCTATTGAACATTTTTAATACCACCCCCAGCGGTTTATTCCAGAACGGCCAAGGGAGCGAGTACTGTGGGAAGTGCAGTGCTTGGTCCAGGAAGATTTTTACTTTATTTTTGAATTTTGTGAAACTCAACCCTACGTAAATTTTACTTTTGCACAAAAACCCAAAGGGATGCTGGCAGGGGTTAGACGTTGGTGGTTTGTGGAGAACTACTTCATACCATTTCTTAATTGTAATCCGAATCAGCTTGTTAGGGGATCATCTGTAATACTCCGATTAAGTTAATTAATTTTAATTATGTGCCAAGCGGTCCCAAAAATTTTATTTTATCTGTCATTTTTTGGTAAATACGGATATTTCACATATTGTCGTGCTTTAATAATTAATGTTTAGTTTGTATGTGCTGGCTCTGCTCAAATTAAGGATCTTCAGGTACATACTAAACACTATAATCCATGCATGATTTCAAACAGAGTTAAATCATTCTAAATAAAAATTTATATCTACCGGTTCTTGCAATGAATCTTAAATGTTAAGAAACTAGTATAGTCGTAGTTAATGCAAAAAAAAAGTTATGAAACTGGTTTCAAAATCTGAGGTTCTAAATAAGTTTAAGACTAACCAATTTGTATTTAATCGAAATTTATTTTTTTGTCCATAAATTGAACCCAAAAAAAATTAATAAAAAACTAAATTTGGGGACAAGAATGATTTTTGGTGGTAATAAATTAATTTCTGGGTATAAAGTAACAAAAACTTGCCTTTTCATGTCTCATCTTCATTTTTTCCTAGATCATCAAAAATTGTTTCCAGCCACCAACCCCGGGAGGGAGGGGTAGTTTTGAAAAATATTTACCCTTGAGATTAATAGATAATTGTAATTATTTGCATGGGTGTATATAAATACAAATTTTTT